AAATTATCGGTGGTGTTCTTTGTCAAATATTTTTTTGTTAAATCAGTTATTGGTATTAAAAAAAAATATGCAGTGACATAATGCTGTGCACAAGTTCATAAATGTTGTTAAAATTATATCTGTATACTTAATGGTTTGAAATAATACCATATTAAACTATAGAAATGTTTTATTTTATACAAATAAAATATGTCTGTCCAAATAAAATACTTAAATTCAAACAAATACAATTAGGTAAATGTAATGGCTTTGCTTTCCTAATAAATGAAACAAATTATAGAGAGAATTGTTTAACATAAAAAAATTTTGTAACATTATTGGTTTAAAGGTTACATGTTTTGTATGATACGTTTTACTTGTCAACAAACTTTTGATTTGCGTTTAAGAAGACCACCGGAAGTGAGCATTCCTGTCAAGACAGGAAATAAGCTTCTGTGTACATATACAGGGTGGCGCAGATGGATCGGGTGGTTTTAAAATACTTGTCAAACTGTCCATTTTAAAGGTATTGGATTGAAATAAAGTGCAAAACCTGTAGTTACAATGGAAGTTTATTGACAAAAATTTACTTAAGCTAGTTTTTTATAAATTACATCCATCAAATGCCTTCCTTCTCGAGCGACGCATTCTTGGAGTCGATCCTTGAGGTTCCGCATTGCTCGCTCAAGCACATCAAAAGGAATTGATGTGATTTTGTTGTGAATTGAAGCCTTCAACTCCTGAATGGTCCGGGGTTTGTTCATGTAGACCCTTGCTTCAGGAGTTGAAGGCTGCAATTCACAACGAAATCACATCAATTCCTGGTGATGTGCTTGAGCAAGCAATGCGGAACCTCAAGGACCGACTCCAAGAATGCGTCGCTCGAGAAGGAAGGCATTTGATGGATGTAATTTAAAAAAAACTAACTTAACTAATTTTTTTCAATAAACTTCCATTGTAACTACACGTTTTGCACTTTATTTCAATCCAATACCTTTAAAATTGACAGTTTGACAAGTATTTTAAAACCACCCGATCCATCTGCGCCACCCTGTACAATGGTAACATTTTAGTAACAACCAAAATGCTTAAAAAGATGCTTGTTCAATCTATAACTTTTACCAAAACTGTTTCCAGTTCAAACTGTTTTCAATCGTATAAAATAAACTACTATTGTTCTTTTTCCAGTCTATGTTGAACTGATTTCAGTCTTAAAACTCAATTCAGTCAAATCAGTCGTTCAAAAATTCAACCGATTGTAAAAACTACAACCGATTGAGTCGGTTTTTTACCAACAATCGATTGAATCGGTTGTTTTCAATCGGTTGTTCCCATCACTAGAATGTTCCCTTTAACAGGAAAGTACCCTAAAGGTAAACATGTTAAACATGGTATTACTAAACATGTGCTATAAGGATTTATTAGATTAGTTAAAAAGATTGATTTTTCACTATTTTAAACCAGGTTTTATTTGCACAAAATAAAAACATAACCAAAACAATTTTCAACATAATGGAGACTATGAGATGTTGACTAGGACAGCCAATAGGAGGAGGCCGACGAACTTTAACTGGTAGACGCGAACAAAATACAAATAATACTATAGTCGTTGATAGACGAATATAGCAAGCACCCTTCCATGTTGGGTTTAAGTGTGCTCTCCAACAGCCACCTGAAGATTTCACATTGAATTTAGGACTGGTAGATAATCACTGCATAACTAACCTGTTGATTTTGGAAGAAAAGGAGGCGGGTAGGACTACATCGCAAACAGAACAGAGGAGATATTAGATGAGTGGCAAATGCGTTGGGAGCAGAGTGTTTAATGTTAACATTTTAAAGGTAAAAGCTCGGATATATACCTAACATCAGAAAGAGACTGGAACAAGATTGAGAGATGGGCCATTATGAAACGCAGTTTGTCACAGGACATGGCAAATTTCTAGGCAAATTTGTGGAGATTTCACATGGTGGAAGAGGAAGTATGTAGATGTGGGGAAATAAAAACCATGAGTCACATATTTATAAATTGTTCACTCCATGAGACAAATAGGAGAGAACAGGAAGAAGTCTGGATAAGAGAGGTCTAGATATGAGAAAATAAAACATGATGAGTGATAAGGAAACAATTGAGACTTAAAAAATAGGAAAAACTAATGTTTTGTTAGAATAATTTATATTTGTTATTATGGACAACCTAATGCGGCTATGAGTAAGGCTATTTGTAGAAAACACTATTTACAAGAAATGTTGATTACATTGATATGTTATGTACATCTTGAGTATTTCCATAATCTTTGAGTCGAATCTTTTAAAGCCATCAGAAATTATGACTGTTATTCATAAAAAAAAAAAACTCCTGTAATACTTAGGAATTGCTCGAATTCGAGCAACAGGTACACTAGTTTTGTATTATATCTATAAACATTTTTTATTTATTGCTTTATTAAAAACCATGAAACAAGATTGCTCCGCTCAACTGGCTTTCATTGCTATGAAAACTACCCTGAACACATTCCTGCAGAAAAAAATGTTCCCCTCCATGTCCTCTACACCCCTCTTTTGAGCATTCATTGACTGGACTAAAAGAACATTGTCTTAAAATAAGACTTTATTTATACAGAAAAAATACCTGAAATGAAAAGTCTATAGGTTTTCCACCAAATATGATTGATTTAATTAGACATACTTTTTAAAGTAACAAGCAATTGTTTGGTACAAATAAATGAAATCAGTTTTTGTTGGGAAGCCTAAAATATACTGATCCTTGTTTTGTTTTTTATCTTCTTCGTAACCAAAAATAACAAGACTATTTAAACATCTGTCGGCTGATAATTAGGTGACAACTACAATATAATATTTAACATTTTTAAGGCTCTGGTCATATCACTACAGGAGGCCCGTGTGAAGACTGGAAGTCCATGGAGTTTCGGGAGGGTTCCGAAAAGTCACAAAACAAAATAAAAAGAAATAAAATAAAATAACAACAAGGATAAACGTGATTTCCATCAAAACTGAAACTGGATTCTTGAATTTCACTTTTCCTCCAGACTTTGTCGTATACGACTTTTTAAGATCCACATCTTTTGAAGTTTGAGATACAGTTGTGGGCTTAACTTCATCATTCTGAAGGACATAGTCCGGTTTAACTCTGTCAAGACTAACTTTAACATTAGAACCATTCAGTTTTATTGTGATAGTTTTACCGTCACTGGATGAGGTACACTGTATGATTGTTGTAAAGATTTTCTCATAGCATCCACTCTCAGAAAAACGTGCAAACATGTATCCAAATCACGAAAAATGAAGCTTCGGTTGAGGCCGTGTCTCTTGATATTTGTTGGTTTTATTGAGGACAGCTTGACTTGTAATCAAGACACAAAATAAGTCGGATCCTCCGACTAGTAGGGGTGCAATAAGTAGGGGTGCCGTGCCGAATTGGTTGTTGGCATAACATACTCGCCGGGGAGATGTAAAACCTCTCCAGAAACCATTTCTGCAGACGAGGTGTTCAGATCCACATGGGAAGCGTTTCTTATTCCAAGAAGCACTGTGGTTAAGGATTCGACCCACGTGGAGGCGGAGGGGCACATGATGGCCGCCTTGAGTTGTCTGTGAAAACGCTCCACCATGCCAATTGCGCATGGGTGGTAACTTGTTGTCCTTAATCTTGAAAATCCACACAAATTTCCTAACTCAGCAAAGAGTGCAGATTCAAATTGTTTACCCTGGTCTGTTGTTATTCGCAAGGGAACACCATACCTTGATAAACAATTGAAAAGAGCTAACGAGACTTCTTCGGCAGAGATACCTTGCAGGTACCTGAGGTGGGGACTTTTGGCTGAACACTTGTCCAAATGGTAGTAGTCTATGGGCAAAAAATCTGCCGAGGTACCAAAATACTAAACAAATATGCAGAAGTGGGGTTCTCTTACCAGACGAAGAAAATATCTTGTGGGCGTGTGGTGCTGTTCAGGATCCTGGCCATCTGCTGATCTGTCCACGCCTAGACCAGTCTTGCACATTAGATGATCTTTTACAAGCGAATGACAAAGCCATATCGGTAGCTAATTTTTGGAAAAGCAAAGTCTGATTTCCGGACACGGAAAGTAAGTAGTATGTACCTAACTTGAGGTACCTACTGTTACTTTGGGTGACGTAGCTCAGGAATGAAACTCGGCACTCGCTTGTTCAATGATCATATTACGATATAATTGGGAACAGTGCTTTTCGTTAGCCTTATTGTAAAATAACCTTGTTCAATAAACTGATATACAGTGTGGTAGAAAAGTTCCGGAACGGTTTAATATATTTTTTACTAATTTAGCTTATTTTATCTCAATCCTTGAACCTCATTGGTCCAAACTTGTTATGTAAAAGTAACATAACAATGCTGTAAAGTAAGTAAACAATACTGTAATGTGAATCTTTTCAATTCTATAAAAACTGAGTTGAAAGAGATATAGTTTAAAAAACTGTCATAGGTAAAAATGATGTGGTGGGGGTGGTTTTGGGGACATTTTTAAATGTAAAGGGGGGTCATGTTATACCTCATTTTAGCTAATTTTAATGGCTACAATGTGGTTTGTAATGAAACCCATGTTGCCATTAGGCATTTTTGAGACAAAACAGCTTTTGAAACTTCAAAAAGTTTGAAAAAGCGTAACATTAGGAAAAGGGTTTGAAACCACAGTTTTTTTGGAAGCTCATTTAGCAATTAAAGTGTTATCGAAATTTGAACCCCCACGAAATTCCACCTCTTTGGAGAGAAAAGTAGTTCATAGGTATATTTTTTTGTACGTTTTTAAACACCTGTAAATATATGGATAAAAAATTTAAAACTTTTTAACCAAAATACTCAGGAATAAAAGTCCATTAAAATAATGTATAACTTAAGACTACCCCCTTTACATTTGAAAATTTCCCAAAAACCACCCCCACCCCCAAAATCTGCCCTTTTGGGTGCTTTTTTGGGTTTAAAAATAATTTATCTGAATTCAAATAAGGGGTTCCAGTTACAATTAGGTTTCTATTTGCTTCATATCGGTGCTATAGAAGTAGGTTTCTATTTGCTTCATATCGGTGCTATAGAAGTAGGTTTCTATTTGCTTCATATCGGTGCTATAGAAGTAGGTTTCTATTTGCTTCATATCGGTGCTATAGAAGTAGGTTTCTATTTGCTTCATATCGGTGCTATAGAAGTAGGTTTCTATTTGCTTCATATCGGTGCTATAGAAGTAGGTTTCTATTTGCTTCATATCGGTGCTATAGAAGTAGGTTTCTATTTGCTTCATATCGGTGCTATAGAAGTAGGTTTCTATTTGCTTCATATCGGTGCTATAGAAGTAGGTTTCTATTTGCTTCATATCGGTGCTATAGAAGTAGGTTTCTATTTGCTTCATATCGGTGCTATAGAAGCCGGCCGGGTGTTCTGGGACATTCTGTATAGCTCCCATATTTAAATAATAATAAGATCAATACAATTTTTGCTATCAAAATATTCTATTCAATTTCTAGTTGACATCGGTGCATTCAAGCGTTTCACATAAATACAGGGTTCAGATTTCTATTTTACATTGGGGACTATATAATAGTCTACTTCCCACTGTCTAAAGTCAATAAGTCAATAATAAAACCTCACTGTCATGCCCAAGTTAAGTAAAAATAAGAATAACTATTTTTCAACAACAAAGCATAGGCCTACGTGAAACACAGGTCATAAAAGGCTAAAAAGATATAACAATAGGATGCAAAACATTAAGGTATAATCAAATAACGTTAAATATTTTTTATTGTAAACGAAAAGCTATCACAAGTTCCAAACCCATTAATAGTGTAATTTTCTAACATTTTTAAGGAGATATCCTAATGAAAATATAATTAATCAGGCAAATGGAAATTCGCTTATTTGCAGGGTTGCTACGGCGGGGGTATTTTATGACTGTTTTCATAAAAATATAGCATATCTAAAAGATAATTTTCATAAAACTCAGGATAACAGCCGAGGTTGATACGGCAACGTTTATAGAATTTAACTTATTTCATAAATTAATCATTTCTTTTACTAATGACTTATTTCATACGAAAAATTATTCCTGTAGGCTATTAATTTTTGTTTAAATAAACTTTGTGGAATTGTGAAATCAAGTGCATTTAACAGCTCTGCGTGTATACATTAAAACATTATGCCCTTTGTTTCCATGAATACAAATCAATATTTAGCCTACTTTACAAACTCTCACCTCAGAACATGGAAAGCCCATGAGGCGGAATCCTAGGTCAATATTATCGATATGTCTCCTCGGAACTGTAGCTTTATTTTTGAGCAATTTAAGCCCAGTCGCTTCAGTAGTTTTTGAGTTTAGTTCTAGGCAATCTAAACAGGTTGCCGCAAACCGATTTCAAATATCTCAAATAGTTAAAAAGATAAAGGAGGGTGCAAGGTAATTTTCAGCCACCCTCATGGTTATTTGGAATTGATATGTTTTAGGGCGCCATTTTGTTATTATTAGGCCGATTATCGTTTTCTTTATGTCAATTGTTTTGTTTCACCAATACCTGTAAAATGATACCAAAGTTGACTATACTTGTCGTTTAAAAATTTTGAGCTACCCCCTACCCCCGCTTCTAAGGGCAAAATTTTCAAAATCAACCATTATTATTGTAGCCCCTCATATCTAAGAAGGTTGCCACAAACCGATTTAGAATATCTCAAATGGTTGAAAAGTTAAGGGGGGGGGGGGTGCAAGTTACTTTTCAGCCACCCTGTATATCGCAATAAGCAAGAGGTCAGGTCGCTGTTAATTGATTGTTGTTCCTTTACCAGAGATCTTCAGTTTATTATTTTTGCAAAACCAGAGGGATGTCACTTTCTTCATCACAAGTCCAGGCATTCGTTATCAGAATCCGTGGAGAATGGCTGATCGTAACCTCAACCCATTGCGAAGCATGGGTGTTTCTGTTTATGCAAACTGTAGATCTAGTTTAAATACAATACCACGTCCACCTACACATAAAATAGGAGTGTTCACCTTTTGACTGACAAATATATATTTCAAGAGTCCAACGCACCTTTTGACGAATAGATACAAGTTCATAGATAACTTACTAGCCTTTAAAAAGTTAAAAACATGCAAATTACGTGGCTCTGTTGATTGTGGGTCTTGGTCTGTTTCTGTTGACGCAACAGAGATGCCAGGGACCGGCCACCGGCCAAGCAGGGTCATCAGTCACCGAGCTCTTCCTCTCGCCCTTTCCGGACCAAATCTGCACACTACCAAATCACCTTGACCCTATTCTCTAAATACTAGTCCGTTGAGTGTCTCAATGTCTAGACAGGTTCAAAGAAAACAACTCAACAGATTTTACCAACTTCATATTTCGTCACATTAAAATCTTATTTTTGGGAATTTAGCTTTGTTTTCCTAAGTAATTGGCACTAAGTAATATTGAGACCTTGGTAGGTAGTTTGTTGATACGTATTAACTTTTAGTACCGGTATTAAAGCAATGTAAATGCCCAATATACAATATCAATAGAATGTCTGCTTTGGTTGTATCATGAATTGTAACGATCTCTAAGTTATGTTTCTCAAACTAAAAATGTAGGAGTTTCTATTTTCAATTAAAATGTTTATTTTACATCTATGACGAAGCTTGGGATACACAAGTACAATACCCAATTGATAAAACTTATAGATAAGAAGAACATCGGGTTTACATTGTCGGGCATCAGTCTGCTCACTAAGCAGATTTCCATTTGGTTGATTCTATATTAACTAAAAATTAGTCCTTTAGCAAGTCAGTTGTACTCGCAGGCATATTCCCTAATTATATAATACAATTGTACCTGTTGCTCAAATTCGAGCAATTGCGAAGTATTACAGGCGTTATTTTAAAACGAATAACAATAACAGTTATAATTTCCTATGCCTTTAAAAGAGTCGACTCATAGACTATGGAAGCACTCACGATGTACATAGCAGTTCGATATAATCAACATTTCTTGTAAATATCTTATCATTTTTCAAAAGCTGATATTTTTTTATTGTTTTCTATAAATGTTTCCCACTCATAGCCTCTTTAGGTTGTTCATAATAACGATTATTTAAATATATAAAAGGCAAAGCCCTCACTGACACACTGACTCACTGACTCACTCACTCATCACTAATTCTCCCACTTCCCATTTACCTAGGAGGCTGAAATTCGGTACACCGATTCTTTGGACATTAAATAGGAAAACTAAGTAGTTTTTATTCTGATCGGGCTTTCAGGCTCCGCCCTAGGTGCTCTGGATTTTCCCATGTTAACCTTATGATTTTTCATATTTAAAATGAATTAATGAATCTTAACAGCTGTTTAAATTAACCAAGTTGGTTCTGTTCTATGATGTTCAATAGCATTAAAGTTACAAGGATTACCAACAGGGTTCAAATGGGCGCAGCACTATTATTTTTTTATTTATGACAACAGCTAATTTGCAACCAAAAGGTGAGTGAGCGTAGCGAACGAACTTCAACCTGGAGGCGAGTTAGCATAGTGAACGAGCTAACCTGAAGGCAAGTGAGCGCAGCGAACGAGCGGACGTGATTGAGCCATGATGCGAATACTTTTGAAGTTAAACGGGACAAAGCCCGCGGGTACAGCTAGTCTATTATATTATTAAAGTGATACAACCAAATTTTATGTAAACGGTTAAGGCCATTTACCAAATAAAAATATAGGCAAATGGCACATTAAAATGTTACCGGTATTCGATTAATTTAGTAATCAACAGCTGGTAATATAGTTTGTTTGTTTACATTGTTGTTTACTTATTTTAATATTTACTTTTAGCGAATTTCCCATATAGGGAACTAGCTGTTGTACCCGTGCTTTGCAACGGGAAGAGGATACAAAATAGAAACATTTTAATCTTTATCTCTTGCATATAAATGTTACACATCCGCCAACGCTTTTAGAAACAAAATTCAACTTTTATGGCCTTAATAGAAACGTTTAAGTTATGACTTTTAAATCTGGTAAGTAGTAGATACCACCATTTTGGTTTTGATTAATTTTAAATCTTGTGTAGGCTGATATGAGAAAAACTGACCAAATCTTCGAGTAAAACTTTGACATAGGTACATGATTTACCAGATTTACCTTCATCTCCCTTAATTACACAGGGGGTAAAATTCTGGAGAGTAAAAATTCGGAGGTAAAAATCCGGGCCGTACATCTACAGTTGTCAAAACGCTAGTTATATGGACAGGGAGTAAAATTCCGGTTTTTAAAACGTTTTTATTAGGTCGCTTTCTTGTCCGCTACAAATTTTGCAACCGATTTTATACTAACTTCCCGATGAGCTAGGGACTTGAAACTTGAAACATATCTCACAAATGGAAGACAATGCAATATCATACAATTTAATTTTCATATTTCCCTTGGGCTACGCCCCATGGGCTTGTTTTTATTAAATCTATTTCTTGCAAATTTTGATACTTCCCGATGAGCTAGAGACTTGAAATTTGAAACATAGCTCACAAATGGGTGACATTGCAATATTATATCATTTAATTTTCATATTTCCTTTCGGGCTACGCCTCATGGGCTTATTTTATTAGCTCGCTTTCCTACAAATTTTGATATCAATTTTAAACGATGTAACCGATAAGCTAGAGACTTGAAATTTGAAACATAACTCACAAATGCATGACAATGCGGGATCATTTAATTTTCATATTTCCCTTGGGCTACGCCCCATGGGCTTCCAAATTTTTCATGTTAACATTTTGAAAGGATGTAAATATATCAACTAATTTAAGTCAGCTGTAAATACTTAAATTTGACAGTTCAAAAAGCAGAGGTTAAGAGGTACAGGTTCTGCTCCCAAGAGATTCTTTATACAAACAAACATTTCAAAATAAAGATAAACAATCTGATTGCAGATATAAAGGAGTTTGTTAATAATGTCATTTGTTATTTATTTAGTATTCTATAAAGTAAACAATAAATCGAATAGATTGATATATTTATAGTTAGTAGTCATATGTACATATTACTCAATGGGTTTAATTATTGGTTTGAGGATGCAATCTAATACATAATTATATGCAAAGAAACTCAAATAAACCTTAGATTTCCCACATGCCTCTGTCTTAATCTGATATAGACGCTTGAAATCGATTTAACATGCACACACATTAAAACTAAAAAGTATAAAATAATTTATAAATAAAAAAACTTTTTTAAACAAAACGTTTTTAAACGCTCTAAAAAGTAGAAAATAATTTACAAATAATTTATAAATATGTTGAGAGAGTATAAATACTTGTACGATTTAAAACAAAAAACGTGGGGTGCATGCAATAGATAGTTTACAATTACCTTCACCTACTGAACTAATGTATTATTATCAATTAATTGCATGCACCCAACGTTTTTCGTTTTAAATCGTACAAGTATTTATACTC